GGCGGGGGCACGGGCGCAGCGCCGGGCGTGGTTCGGGAGAAGGGGACGTGAGGAGAACTGTGAATTCTCAGGCCCCCAGGTGGGCCGGGGTCCCGAGCGAGCCCGGCCAAACCACCCCCCAAACACAAAAGACCGAAAATCCCCACCTTTCCCCGACCCTTCCTTGTCACAGGACCCCCTGGTTGGGATCATTTGGGCCCCATCTAAAAGGGGCTACGCAGGCATTTGGCGGCGGCTGAAGCAGCCTGTGCCACCAGGATTCCCCATGCGGGCTGTGGCCTCCTTTGCCACCTGCTGAGCTGGTCCTCCTGGGTGGGGTGAGGCAGAAGCCCCTGCTGGCACCGCCCCTGCCCAGCTGGGGTTTGGGTGCAGGCCCAGGATTCTGGCCCATGCAGAGGGCCGTGGACCTAAAGACACCCCTGAGGAGCTCAAGCCGGGTGGTCACTGCCTCACACTGGAGCTGCCTGTTGGAGGAGGCACTGGGAAGGCACTACCTCCCAGAGAGTTTCCTTTCTGGAAACTTGGAACCAGCCCCTTTATGACATTTTCCAGGGGAGGGGGGAGGGGCACTGGCTGGGTTTATGGCAGTGACACTATTTGTGTAATGACATCAGCTCCCACAAGGCCCCTCAGCAGTGTCTACAGCTGGGAAGGGCCTGGATGGGCATGGAATGCAGGCTGCAAAGGAGGTTAGGCCCGGCTGGGGGAAGGGGCTGGCGGGAGCTGGGACTGGGTCTGCTGGCTCAGCAAGGTGCCAGCCTGCCTGAGCCATGGGCAGGCAGGGCCAGGAATGACCAGGTTCCTGGCTACCAAGGAGACCATGACCACTTCTTGTTGCTGCCCTCACTCCTGGCTCCCCAAGGGAAGGGACAGAGGCTGCTAGGCCAAGAGAGCCTATTGCAGCCGCCCCCGCCCTGGGCCCGCCCCTGCACCTGTCTTGGTCTAGCCTGGGCAGTACCTGGCCTACACCTTCCCAGCTTCCCCCTTTGTGGAGGCCTCCCATGCCCCCAGGTGTGGCCAGACCCTCTTTCCAGAGCTGCCTAGAGACACTGTCTTCCAGCAGGCAGCCCAGACCCTCAGGTCCTAGTGTCTCGCCCAGGGCCTGTTCCTGTGCTGGGGCCTGCTGCCTCCTGCCCCTGAGCTCTGCACTGCCCAGAGGCCACCCCCGCACACTGACTTAGAGGCCTGGCTCCCTTCTCAGTCAGGAAACCAGTTTCATTTTCCTGCTGGAGTGTGCCTGCTCAGAGGGTGACACTAAGTATGAGGCGTGGTCGCCGTGGTCCGGCTCCCACCCTCCCCCGCCTCCTCTGCCTCGGCCCATACCCTGGCTGCCATTGAGGGAGCACCTGCTCTGTGCCTGGCACTTTACCCCCACACCCTCCTGTTGTCCTAACGACAACCCCGTGAGACAGGGATTCTCACCCCCACACTCACCAGCAAGGAAACTGAAGCACCTGTGCCCAAGGTAACCAGAAAAATAAGGGGCCGTGCTGCCCCTGCTCACTGCACACTGGCTTTGTGGCCTGCCCACCAGGTTCCCGTAGCAGGCTGCCAGGGTGCTCCTGGGGCGCCACCACTGAGACACCAGGCCTGGTGACTGCTCTAGAGAATAGAAGTGTGTGTGTGGAAATGGGCACAATAACATCTTCAGAGGGGTGCAAGAGAGGTGGGTGAAGCTGGTTGTAAGTTCACCGTAGTGCACCCCTGGAAGGCCCAGGTTCTGGACGGCAGGCCTTAGCTAACCTAAGATGAAGTAGAAAGGACATTTGGCTGCCCGGGGGTGTTTGGAGGGATTCCAGGAGACTGGCAGAGATGCCCCTGGGGGCAGGGAGAGGACAGAATGGCCTTGGGAAGGGATACTTGTCTCTCTGAATCCAGGCCCAAGACGGAGCGTAGGGACCTCTCTCCTAGCAGTGAGCCCTCTGACGCCAGCGTCGTTCGCTGAGTGCCATTAGCACCTAGGAGTTCTTGGCATTTTGCTGCCCATAGTCCTTTATTGGCATTTACTGTTTGGGCTGTTGTCCTGTTTCTATTTACACCCGTCTGTCTTCTCTGCCCTGCCCAGAAGGGCCGTGGCAGCCCCACCACCTCCCACCCTGGGTCTGAGTCACCCCAGGTCCATCAAAGGGCCACCTCTGATGGTCTCCGAGGCCCCAGCTCTGGAGACAGAAGCCTGCCAAGCAATAATGCATCTTGCTTTAAATTCAACCAGCCTCTAGGCTCACCCTCCTGCTCAGCACCCTGAGGGCAAAGGCCATCCAGCCTACCTGGTGGCCTGGCCCCTGGGGAATATGTCAGAGTGGCCAGGTGGGGGTGAAGACACTGTTGGGATTTCAGTCATCATAGGCCTTCCGCATCTCACTGGCCCAGCCCGAACCCAGCCCACCGCTCCTGAATCCAGGTACCCAACTCCAGCAGTGGGGACTCCTCCTTGGGAAAGCACCCTCTTCCACCCCCGCCCGTCCCAGGGAGGAGATGGGAATAGGAATTGAGGTGCCCATCTGTACAGTTAGGAAGGGATGTAAAGTGGAACTAGATTTTGATTTTGAAGAGTGTATTAACCAGAATTGTGATATGTAGATGTTTAAAGAAAAACCTACCAGATTAGTCTTTTTTTTTTTTTTTAAAAAAACAGATTCCCCAGTTGCCCTTTTTCTGGAGCCCCTGACAGTGGAGTGACCTTCTTTATTGACACGCAGTAACGCTGAAGATTGGGGTGTAGGGAAGGGGGAGGATATGGGGTTGCCCCAGACTCACCTGCAGGCCGTGGCTTCTGTCGTGAGTGCAGGGTGGGAGGCAGCCTCCGCAGGTCCTGGGAAATGGAAGTGACACCTCTAGTCCAACCAAGGAGGCTGTGAGCTGCCCCAAGGCCCCTAGTGACCTCCTGGAATTCTGCCTCCATAGTAGCGTGCAGGAAATGGGTACAGACTTTCTTGGGTTTACTCCAGGTTGGAATGAAATCAAGGAGACTCGGAGGGATCAGGAAATAGTCCCTCCAGGAAACTGAAAAACGTTGGGGTCTCAGTGCTCAGAGGAAGCCCCCTCCCCATCACATCCCACCAGAGAGACAGAGTAGGCAAACTATACTCACTGATGTGGTTCCTGGGCTGAGGTTCACGGCGCAGCCATGCCATACCCTAGGGGTATCAGTGTGTGTGCTCTGGGGCCTTGCCCTCTGCCCAAACCAAGCCACCCCACTCCTTGTGTCATTGGACATCCTTCCCATCCCCATTCCTGAGTGCACTACCCACCCTCCCTCCACTCCCTGCTGGGTTCTGGAATTCTGATCATTCAGAATGGTAAATGTTTAGTTGTGACCATGACATATTGTTTGGGTCAGTGTTCCTTTCCAATGCATACTAATATATTATGGTTATTATATATGAATATATTTAATGACATGGAAAAAGTTGTGGATTTTTTTAAGTTTTTTGTTTTGTTTAGAGTTGTAATGGACCCAGATGGAACTTGTAACTTGGGCCCCACATGATAGAACTAAATTCAGATATCAATTAAATAAACTCTTGTACACTGTTCTCTGTCTTCCAGTCTTTACTGGTGGTCTGAGCTGTGGGTGGTGGGCATGCAGGGAGAGAGAAGCATGGCAGGCCTTTATGCCACTTAAGGAATATCGATTCTGGTCTGAGAACTCCCAGCAAGCCAGAGCGCCACTGATTTTTCACAAAGCCTGAGACAGAACTCCACCTACCAAAAAAAAAAAAAAGGGCAGCTTTGCTTGTGAAGTCCTAGGGCCTTGCAGTCTCCAAGTGTGATTTTAAGCTAAAAGTCTCTCAAATGGGTCAAGCTGTATTTAAGTCCCTGAGAACCATCCCTGGGATCCATCCTTGCCCCTCCTTGGAGTTCCAGGTCCGGGGCACCGCAGGGGAGGGCAGAGGTCTCCCCACCTGCCCTAAATTCAGCACCCAGGCAGAGTATACCTTGGAATATCCCCACCTGATTCAGAACCTGCAAGTGTCTTGCCTTTCACAGATCTAGTTTCCTCTATTAAAGCCAACAGGAGACTCACGAGAGAAGACAGCAGGATTAGTAAAACTCAAGAGTTTTTTTTCCAAGCCATTGCTAAAGGCTTTGTGCGGTGCAGGGATGGGGCCACTGCCAGCGCCACGCAGCCACCAGGAGCTGAGCTCACTGGGTTTCTGAGAAACTATATTTAAATTTCCGAATGGTTATGATTTCTTTATTAAACAAACAATTCAGTCATTAGGAACATGTTGTGTTGCTATGCGAAGCGGAGCCGATCGTCACCAGGAAGTTGTAATTTCTGCACCCGGCTGTTTTGAAGACAAGTCTCCGCGATGGGCCTGGTCGGCCCCTCAGCAACACAGATCCCGCTGGCACCTGGGAGGCATGGGCGGCCTTTCCCTGCAGCATGGGGAGCTGGCTGAAGTGCCATTAGCCTCTCCTCAGGAAGAAACAGGCCAGCCCAGCCTCCTCAGAGGGTCTGGCTCTAGGGAACAGGAGCTGTGTTCTCAGACCAGGGGTCAAAGCCAGGGCAGCTAGATACAGCGGTGGCTGGTCTTATGTCAAGGTCAGTCTCAGGTGTAAGTCTCTGCTGGCATGGCAGTTCCTGACACTGGGTGGTCAGGGGCAGGAAGCAAGTCTTAGGTAGCTGGACAGGCCAGGAATAAAACTAGCCTTTTCTGCGATCTCAGGCTCTTCCCAAGGCCAGTTCAGACCCAGCTGGGCCAGCTGCAGGATTGAGTGCCTGCCCAGAGACCAGGGTTCAGGGTTTGTGCTACACTTGGAAATGTGACTCTTGGCTTTGGTCATTCTTTTTTCTTTTTTTAAATATATTTTTACTGATTTTAGAGAGAGAGGAAGGGAGAAAGAGAAACATGGATCAGCTGCCTCCTGCACACCCCCTACTGGGGATGGAGCCAGAAACCCAGGCATGTGCATGACCTGGTATTGAACTGGCGACCTCTTGGTGCATGGGACGATGCCCAGCCAACTGAGCCACACTGGCCAGGGCTGGTCATTCTGTTCAAGGGTCCAGTTCTCAAAGACTTTCACAATGTGGCTTTTTCCTGTCCTTCTTAAAACAGTTGTCTGTGACTGAGTGTCTTCTCCTTCGGAACTTCACCAGTGCTGGGCGTGCTGGCAGTTGCAGCCTGTCCCAGGCTGGAAGGAAACACTGTTGATCAGAGACACTAGAGGCCATCCCAGAGCCTGCTTAACTCTCTAGCCTGAGAGAGGTGGCACTGACAGCCGCCAGGCTCGACGCAGGAAATAAGCTGGGTCTCTGCTAAGTCCCAAGGTGGTTGGAAAAGTCCATTTCAGAGGCTGGGATGGTTAGGCACAGGGAAGCTGAGCGATCCCTATTAGGACTCAGGGCCCAGCGCAGTCAAAAGCCCAGAGCCAGCTGAGTGAGAGGGCTTCCCAGGGTCAGCCGACTTTCAGAGGGGCGCACTCATTCGCAAAGCCCACCCGGCCCTTCCCAGAGACAGCGCCCTGGGACGGGACTGCCTACTCATGGCAGAGACACCCCTGGGTTTCAGACTTCGTTGCACAGACACCTCTTTCTATGCTCTTTTAAGACTAAATAAAGACGTAAGAAATATGCCAAGAAAAACTGGGAGTGAATGACGAACAGAGCCAGTGAGAAATAGAGCAACGGATGGATGAACTCATTGCTTTATCAGACTGGAGTCTCAACAGGGCAGCAGCTCATTTCTGGACAGAGCTGAACTGGGAAGTCTGAAGACGTACAAAGCAACTGGAGGAAAGATGAATCTTGGCCCAGTTTTTTAAATAAAGGGGGAAAACCCCACTTAATCAGAGGGGCTGTTAGCTAGGCAAGAGGTGATCTTTAGTCTTTACCAATAGTTCTCCTGCAACCCGAAGCTGAAGCAGGGATGAGGGTTCTCGGAAGGCTAGGACCCTTTACTGACAGGAGGAAAGAGCAGCTGGGCTGGCCGCGGGTCTGACTAGTCAGGAGCCGTCCTCCAGTCTGGAGGAGGAGGAGGAGGAGGAGGAGGGTCCCAAGCTCGGCCGGGCCCAGGAGGTCTTGCCGGGAACAGATTGTCCTGGGGCTAATGCAGACTAAGGTCTGTTACCGTTTCTACTAATGATGAAGTTTCAACGGAGCAAGAAGACCAGTTGTAACCAGGTATCTGGATTTCTTTATATGGTATCCAGACTCAAAATGCTTATAATTAATAATCAGTTAAGTTAAACAATACTTATACTGTTATTTTAATTAAGTCTATTTTCATTAAAAAACATCCAAGGTATGGGTGCTAAATCCCAGTCTTGCCTCTTTTCTTTGTGCTTAGCTTAAGGTCTTACTGCTCACACGACAGGCTCAGAGCCTGGGCCTCGGCAGCTGCGCTCCTGATACCTTTGAAGGGGACGCGTAGGCCTGACCCACCCAGCCAGAGAATGTTACTCTAGAGTGGGTCTTGATGCAACAGAGCCCCCCAAGGTGGCTCGGGAATTCCTTTCCACTTCTGGTCTGCCCTGCGGCTCCAAGTGGGGTGGGTGTCTCATGGGAGAAGCCCCCAAGAAAGCTAAGAAGCGGGGAGCCTTCATGCCCAGCATTGCCCGAGGCCTGGACAGCAGGTCCTTGCAGTCTAACCCGGCCAGCCTTTCACCCCCTCCCCTGCCTGCAGGTCCAGAGAAGTGAAGTCACTTGTCCAGGTCGCCCAGCTAGCGGTGCTGGCCGGGCCTGGAGCCCACTCATCTAGAGAACAGAAGCTGTTGTGTGCAGACATCAGCTCAGTGTTTGGCTTGAAAAGGCCTTTCCGTGCGGCTGAGCCAGAACGCCGTGGCTCTGGTTCAAGACGCCCACGAGTTGCCGGGGCTCCGTGCTGAGCAAGTCAAGAGGAGGTGAGAAAGTCAAACAAACCTTCAATGCTGCCTCCCATGAGCCCCAAAGTGGGGGGCTCCAAGGAGACACTGTTTATATAGATTTGGGGGTTTGCACGACAACACTGAGAGATGTGGCTCTCCAGATTCTTGATCTTCTGTTGGGTGAGCCATTAGCAACCACTTCGCTCCCACCCCACAAGCAAAATGCGTCCCAGGATGCCTTCCCGTCCGAAAACCCTTTGGCTCCCTGTCCAGCAAGGTTCCTCTCCTTTGGGAACATACCCATCTTGAGACAAGCCTGCTTCCACTTCCTCCCCTTCGTTCTGCAATCCAGTTCCCCAGCACCAGGGCTCATGCTCATGCCGGTCTCCACTCCCTGCCCTCTCATCCCCTTGGCACTTGCCATCTAAACACAGCCCGGCTGTTATGCTGAATCTGCGCCCAGGGCCTCACCATCTGAGGCCAGCCTGGGTCTGCGTGTTGGCAGCCCTGGAGGCTGGTGGGTGTCAGGGTCCACAGAGACAGGGGGGCTCTGCTCTGCTCTGCCCCACCACACGCCTTCAGGAGTTTGCTTGGTTGCGGTAGGTGGCGAGTAGGACAGAATCCGTGAGTGTGGATCTGGAGACCACCTGGCCCAGCGGGTTTAGATTTGGGCTAGAAGAGTCCTATTTCCGCTGAGCCGAGCAGTGGCTCTGTGCTTATGCGCCCACCTACCCACAGCCGCCCTGAGGCGGGGGATGCTCTCCACTTTCTGGGGGGAGGACATGGAGGCCCCCGGCCACACTGCTGGGAAGAGGTGTGGTCACCGCTGGGGCCATTCACCACCTAGCTCAGGCCCTCTGCCTTCAGGGCACTTTTGGTCCCGACCAGTGAACTGTGAACCCAGGAGATGGCTTACTTCTGAGTGAAACGCCACTGCTAGTGTCGCGTGCCTCCGCCAGAGCCCACAGTGGCTCTTCCACTGGCTCAGGTTCTGGATGAGATGTCGTCAGAGACCCTCATTGACCTGTGAGGGAGGGACTTAGAGCTGGAGCAAGACACCTAGGTCTGGGGCAGGTCTGGGGTGGGTCCAGGCCGCTCCCACTTGGGTGGGTGTCCTGACTGTTCTGCTGACCGGGAGACAGGGCTGGCTGCTGCTCACAGGAGAGGAGTGTGTCATCGCCACATGCACCCCAGGTGGGAGGATTGCTCAGCTGGAGCAGGGCCAGGTGGAGCCTTGAGGTGACCCAGCCCCTCTAGGGAACCACTGCCAGGAACAGGGTCACAACACTTTGCAGTGATTTACACTTCACCACCCAGGAAGTCACAGTCCCCCTCCCCCGCAGGCTGGGTGTCTGGCCCAGATCTTCACACTACACCAGAGTCTCAGGCCTCAGGGTCCAAGGAAAAATCACTGTGCCAGAAGCACCTTGCTCTTCCTCCAGCCTGTCCGTCCACAGGGGGTCAAGTCACCCCCCCTAGGATTCCCCCACCACAGGCCTGTTCCCTGCTTTTATTCAGTGACATCTTGTACTTTGGAACTTGCCCTGTCACCAACCTAATTTCTTTCCCCTTTTGCCAAGGAGGGCAAAGCAAGGTGAGCTGGCCCAGCCTGCTCTCTATTCAGATAGGAGAGAGGGCACGAAGCTGGGCCCACCACCCTCTAACCTGGAACTTGCCGATGCTCCCAGGGGCCGGGGATCCCCTGCAGGCCTGCCCCGTCTGCCCTTTCCCATGCACGCGCACACGGACGCACTGTGTACATCACACGCTGGGTTGTCAGAGCCAGTCTAGGAGCCAAGTAAGGCACTGTTCTCCTGACTTCATAACCACACCTTTCTCTGAACCCTAAGCAGTACTTCTCAGACTGATCACTTCCCACCCCACCCACCGCATGCAACAGACTTCACCCTGGCTGCCTGGACAGATGTTCAGCCTTGGAAATGGTTAACTCTTACAAAGAAATGAAAGAGAACATGCTTCTAGGTCTAGAAGGCGATTCCAGTAGAGCCCAGAAAAGTTCTCAGCAATGGCAGCACCACCGGGAGCAGTGAGCCTGGCGGGAGAGGGCAGGATGGTCACACAGGAACAGGTGTCTGTGGCACTGCCTGTGTCACAGCCTCACGTCGCTCCCTCCTCCTTGCCTGAACTGTTCACTGTTTCCTACATGGACATGTGACTTCCCTAGCAGACCAGGCGCTCAAGGTTACTAATTGCCCATTTGTTCAGTACGCCCCAGGTGCCAGTGCACTTTGGGGTGGGTGGAATCACTAGTAGCCGTGGGCAGTGACCACTGAGAAACCTTGGGCTAGCACCGAAATGACAAAGGCAGGACCAGAAGGGCCACACTGAGCCTGAGGCTCCATTGGCTCCAGAGCCGCCGCACAATTTGCTTTTACTGAGGCAACACATCGAGAGTTCAGAGCTTTGAGGGAATTTATTGAGAGCAGCTTTCATGTATCAAAAGGGTGCTGGGCTTTTCTCCATCACTGGCAGGTGTCAGAGCTGGTGGTCCTTTTATTGCCACTATTTGGTAGGCCAGACTGCAACGACCACAATAGCCACGAGCAGCAATAAAATCACCATTATCATTCCTGAAAAACAAGCACAGAAGACGCCTTTCAGTGACTCGCTCCGACGAACATCACGATCCCAAGTATCTTCAGGGAGACGCTGTGCGCAGTTCTCCCGGCCGCCTGCTCCCCGGGAGCCTTTCCTTTGTGCTTCGATGTGTGACGGTATCAGCAGCCCCAGGGCGTGGGCGCTGCACAGCTCTGGCTTCGTGGGTAGTGGGGTGCAAAAGGGAGGGCTTGGGGGACGCTGCTGAGGTTGCACCCCACCACCTCAAGTTGTGCCAGCAAAGTGTAGGAGCTCCTGACAGGGCTGGGGGGACCTGGGTGAGCTCCCCCCTCATTCAGCACTCGAGCATGCTCAGCCCCCAGGTGTGCAGCCTGGCCCTGCTTTCTGTTTGTTCTGATGAGACACCAATAAAGCAACGGGCTTTCGAGTTCACGAGGAAATTCATTCTGGAATCCATTATCTCCACTATCCACATGGCTTTCCCTTTTCTTCTGGAGCCCAAAATACTATGTCATCCATTTGTAAAAATATCCACTAGAGGGGCTTTTTCTTCACATACACATTTTTATGTTAGTATTTTTTCTGTTTTATTTCCTAAAATTTTTGGCTGGGGAAGACAAAGGAGAGCACCAGCTTGCCTGGCCAGTCTGCTCCCTGGGCTCAGCTCTCCAGCTCCTGCATCGGGACTCTTGATCGCCCATTCCTGCAGCGCTGATGGAGGCGGCCCCTTCACTCACTCAGCTCACGTCTCCCACACTTCCCAGCATGTAGTGAGCGCTCGCCATGGCCAGGCACCTGAGGCCAGCATGGTCGTGGCATGTGGCATATGCCAGGGACAGGTGTGGCTACTACAAAGGAAGCACTCAATCACTGTTTGACCACTGAAGCATCCCTGAGCTACTGAGGCCCCAAGAGGCAAGTGAGGAGCAGATGGTTAAAGCACCTGAAAATGCTCCATAAAGTAACAGGTGAGTCGACCCCACAGGATCACGTGGTTGTTGGCCACCAGGGCTGCCACCTTAGACGGAGCTGTTTCTGGAAAGGTCAGGGTCCTGAGAGTTCAATGACGTGCTCTCACAGGAAGCCATTAACATGTTATTGATCTCATTAACTAGATAACCGCTGGTTACATTTGGCTATTTCAATTTCAATTAATTAAAGGGAAATAAAGTTAAAAATCCAATGTCTCAGTTGCACTAACCATATTTCAAGTGCTTCAGAGCCACACATGGCCAGTGGGTAGCATGATGCACAGAGACAATGAAGAGCATTTCCACCATCCTAGAAAGTTCTTTTGGACAGAACAGAGAGCGTGGAGCTTTGATTACTTCATTCACTGCTGCACCCCAGCTGCCATGATGGTGCCTGGAGTGGGGCTCATTGAATGAATGAATGAATGGCTGCTCGATGAATTTTCAACACTCACTCTGCACTTGGGTAGCTTCCCACACTGGGAATTCTGTTTTTCCCTCTTCTTGAGTCAGTTTTGCTAAATTATATTTTTCTGGGAAATTGCCCATTTTTTTCTGAGTATTTAAAAGTGCTGGCGTAAAACTGTTCATTATCTTCTTATGATTTGGATACTACGCTCAATCTGTAGCCCTGACTGGGATCAGTTGATGAGTGTGTCGTCCCGATAGGCCAAGGATTTGGGTTTGATCCCTGGTCAGGGCACATGCAAGAATCAACCAGTGAGTGCATCAATAAGTGAAACAAGTCGATGTTTCCCCCCCCACCCCATCTCTCCCTTTCTCTCTAAAATCAATAAATAAAAATTTAAAAAAATTTCAACAATTTCTTCTTTGGCCCAATTATTTAGAACTGTGTTTTGAAATTTCCAATGATATTGGAACATAATTATCAATATATATATATATATACTTTTAAATGCTGAGATAATAGTGCATGTGCTATATTTTGATGTGAAAATATCTGTGATTTCTATTGGTGACAAAGTCACAAGTTCTACTAACATTACTGTGGCCTGTTAACTATCTTCTTAATTGAAGAAAATGCTAAATCTCAATTAGAGGTTAGTGAAAATAAGAATGCAATTAGCTTTCTCCTCCGCATCCACAGGCTCCTGAATTCCATCCGCAGATCGCAGGGTTCACTGTAGTTCAGTGTGAATTTAAAACAGCACGTCCACAGTTTTAAATACTGAGAAGTGACTTAAAAATATATGCAAGCTTCCCTGTCATCTCCCTGTGACAAGGGATACATGCTTTTCTAGTGCACACCCTTTCTCTGATGATCTGATCCTTTGAGAATACTCCCTTTG